AAGTCGCAAAGCAAATGCCTTAAATATTTTAGATGACACCCCGTAATACCCATTGGGAGTGCATGTACATATATGATACATATAATATTTATCATCATCTAAATATGCACGCATGTGTTGTTCCGCCCGTTTACAGAAAGTGCCCGGAATAGAGGATATAATATATATATATATACTCTCTATAGGGGGGGATATATGGTATAAACGGTATAAATGGTATAGCGCACAGTCATCGATAATTCATGTCCACGATCTGAGGCCAGGTTTTTCCCCGAGGGTTGGTTCTTTCATTGCTCATATGCCATTAATTACGCGGCGATTGGCATTGTTTAAAATGCGCCGGAATTGGCCGTTCAATCGACAAGGCAGTGTTTCAAAGTACTATCGAGAGTACTATATATATAGTATGAATGCCCCATATGTAACCCACAAAATAAAGTAGTAACCCAATTTATGGACTGTCTTGAACCCAAAAATTGTGGCCCTGAATCCACTTTATAGCTATTCCCGCATTAAAAACGATAATGTTGATGATGATGATGCGATCGTTACCCAAATTTAAATCGGATTCGAATTTGAATCGCCTGGCTTGTAAACAATATATCAAAGCAATAGATACAGACGCACGGATCGGGCGATACGATCCGAACACTTGAGCGAACTTTATGTCTTTATGGCCATTTTTTTCATGTGTATTCAAATGCTGATGATGGAATTGCTAAATAGATGGCTCCCCCTTTCCGTTCCGCTCCGCCCCCTTCGTCAGCCGCCTTTGTTAATGTGCTTTTTTCCCACATTTGTTTTGTGTTATTGCTTTCATAGCCCCCACCCTCCAACTTAATATCCTGCCTTTATCTCCGCCATAAGTGTGTTTTCAATTGGCCATTCTTTATGGCACTACACAGTGTCTAAATATATATTTCATAATTAGAGTATTGATATAGAAGACCCCAAACATGGTATTTTATCTTATACAGTATACATTTTCGGTTTTCTACTTTAAAGTTTTTAAGATTCTTGACAGTTTTTGTGCTCGAAAACCTTACCACAAGATTTCTTTAAAAACTGCAATCTTTAATAAACTTTCTAAATTCCCATTGGCTGTATATTCGCTGCTAAAATTTGTTTTTTTCTTTTCAAAAAACCACTGCCATTTGCTCTTTGGAGAAAATTCTGCCAAAACTTTTACCACTTTTTGCAGGGTACAAAAGTTTCGTTGCCGAAATATTTTCCCCAAGAGTTCCATCGTGTGTCTGCGATTTGTTTTTGTTTTGTTCTGCAGATGCTTTGGTTGAAAATAACTTCGAACCGCTCAGAGACTGACAGAAAGAGACAGACGAAGTGAGTGAAAGGGATAGAGCGAATAGGGAACGCGGGCTATTTATTTATTTTTATAGTTTGGGCTCTGAGGCAAAACGGACACGTGGAATCCGCCGACGAAATGGCGAATGAAAATGGGCATACAAATGGCCAGCAGATAAGCTAGATACGTCATAGTTTCTTGGCAACACTCAGGAAAAAATCGTTGAAAAATATTTATACAAGATTGTGACACAATATTCACAAAATGTACTAATGGTATACATTTCAAAAAAAGGAATATGTGTCGTATACGTTATATATTCTAAAAAAAAAAAAAAAAATCGCATACGACACGTTAAATGTACACCAAACTGAATTCAACGCGTCGTATACGTTATTTTTTTATTAAAAAAAAATCACACAAACGATTCGTTGAATTTACACCAAACTGAACTCAACGTGTCGTATGCGCGATTTCTTCAGAGAATATAACGTATACGACACATATTCATTTTTCAAAATTAAGTAGCGCGCTTTTTGGAAACTTTTTTACCATCAAATACATTACTGTATTCAGTTGTTTTCATACACATTTAATTACACTAAACTCAATTTAACGTGTCGTATGTGTGATTTCTTCAGAAAATATAACGTATACGACCCATGGTCCTTTTTTAAAAGTATGTAGCGCGCTTTTTGGAACCTGTATAATCTTTTTGAAATCCTTAAAGACAAATACTATGAAATGTACCATCAAAGGGAAATACATAACACTATTTAAAAATTATTTTCACTTCAAATGTTAATAAATCCTGCATATTTTTGTACAGTGTAGGCTTACCAAAATGGGCCGCTCGTTGGCGTAGGACAGCTTGCGTGTGTTGCGCAGCGTTTCCAGCCAAAGGGAGTTCCTGCGGGCGGCACTCGTGGCGCCACCGACGCTGCCCGTTCGCGTCATCAGTGCGGCGGCCGCGTTCAGCGGCTGTGACATTTGCGGCAGCGGTGGCGGCGGTGGCGGTGGCGGCGGTTGTGACGACGTCATCATCAGCGTCAGCGACGGCGACCGCGAGGGCGTGGGTGAGGGCGTGACGGACGGGGAGCCCGATGGGGTTGATGACGTCGACACGACCACCGGTGTGGGCATAACCATGGGCATGGGCATGGCTATGGCCATTGGCATGAGCGTGGGCGTCGACTGCGGCCGAGGAGGCGTGGCATGGCATTTCTGATAGAGAGCGCCCTGATTACAGTCGTTATCCATGCAGAAGGCCGGCGACATGCTCTGCTCCTCCAATCGGTTGTTGTTTAGGATCCCCGAAGATCCAGAAAGATAATCTCGTGTTCCTTTAAAGTCTTTATTTCAATTTATTGGTAACTTTCACTCTTTTGTTTTAAGGAAATTCTCATAGTTTCAGTTTGTAAGATGATTTCAAGATCCACATTTGTTTGCAGTCGCGAATGTAAGGCTTTTATAACTTGGCTTTGTATGCTGTTTTAGGAAAACCTTTAAATGATCCAGAAATATCCCCAGACTGGAATCGTTTTCTTTGTTATCTGATTGTTTATGTATTCTTAATTAAAGGCAAATGTTGTTGTTTTCGGGAAAATTACACACAAACATGTTGCTTTAATTATTATTAAAAGATTTTCAAGGAAACAAGTACATTGTTTATTTTAAAATGCGATTTTCAGATCTTGCCGGTTACAGGCCAAAACCGCAATCTTTAAACAATAAATCATTGTGCTTTCTTCTTAGAATTCATAATATATCACAATTTTCCTGGTTCACTGAATGCTTTCCCAAGCAAGGGCACTTTGTCAACATATACACAACAAAAAAAAAGGATTTCTTCACGACAAAAAAAAATCAAAACAGCCCACGACGAACCGCAACAGGCGAAAAACCGATGAAGTTTGATTCGATTTTGATTTGAATTGGGTATTATTTTTGGCCAACAGTGTTTCGACTTTCGACTGCGTAATTGTCCAGAATGTAAACAGCATTGGGGATGCAGACACAATTCAGCATTTCCACAACCCATTCCCGTCCATTATTGACCGATCTGATGCGATACGATCCGCAGCCGATCTGGAAAATGAGCGACAAAGAGCGAAATCGAGAGCGATCCCTTCCGACGACGCCGCACAAATGGGCTGCCCCGAAAAAAATTGTATTTATATTCCAATCTGGTGCGCTCCTGCATTCGGGTTTTTCTATTTGGTTCCGCCAATCTAGCAGAATCAAGGAGAACATTAATGTGCTCCGAGTTTGGGTATGGACTTCGCTATACTCAGTATATGATAAATTGATATATAAAATAGCAATTTATAAATTTAAATTTGTTATTAAATAATTTTTAGAATTTTAACAGAATTAATTTGTGTTTGGCTTATTTTAAACCGATAAAGAAACAAAAAATTTACGACAACCTTCCTAAATTTTTAAACCCAAACCAAAAACCTTTTCCTTTAGTTTCCATAAAACAATATAGGTTTTTTATTTGGTACTACCGATTATAAAAAAAAAAAACAACTTCTTCGATCCGCACGCTTGCTAAGATCATGTGGATCGGATCCCAATTGGAAGGTGGAAGCCAAGTGGATAAAAAGCAGCAGGTGGATGGCCCAAATGAGAGAAACTATTTCGAAGAGCGATGAGAGAAACATCCGCTCGTGGAAAACCAGGGGAAGGGTGGGGAACGGAAAACAACTGATCACGTCGACGTCATGGAAATGAAAATGTTGCAGCTTTTACTGGGGGAAATATTAAATGGTTCCGCTCGGCGCTTAATTGCTGTCTTCCCAGGAAAATAAATGATAAACTATATGAATACCCTGGGGCTTTGGTTCATTGGTTTCCCAAAGCAGAAATGTAAAACTATCTATCGTTAGGAAATATTTAAGATACAGATACCATCCCACATTTCATGACTCATTTATGAAATAATACTTATTGTATATATTATTATATTTTTAGTTTCTTCCCCAATCACTTCTTATATCATAGGTACTTCAAAAAATTAATCGGTGCATTTTGGGTTCATCACAAACAACGACATTCAGTGCGAATCGAAACTACATCTTACCTGCAGCGATAAATCATCGTTTATAGTTATACGTAAACTAATTAGGGGTGATATATTAACTACTCATCTACATTCAAAAACGGATGCAAAGGCATACGGGATGCTGAAGCGGATTTGGAAGTGGATGCGAGATTATGGGATGCGGAAGTTCAAACTTCAAAAGCGGCCAAAATGCTCAAAACGGTTTTTGAAAACGGGTATTTTGAGTTTTGTAAATAGGTTCTTTTTGTTTTTTACTGGATTTCGGTGAGATTTCTAGGGAAGATTGAATATGGACATTGACGCAGTGCAGACTAGGAAGAAACGAGTGCCAAACGCAAACCGATTGCACGGCGGCATTTAGCATTTTGCAGCATAATGCATTTATGTTATCGATAACAAGCTACTTGACCGCTGGGGGCGGGAAGGTCATTGCGGTGCCATTGGAATTGAACTTGGTTTTTGTTTTATTTTTTTTTTTTTTTTTTTTTTGGTTTTGGAACTTTGGAACTACGTTGGTTCATTCTAAATATTTATGTACACATAAAACAAGATTGTTATTTTTGGCAAATGGGAATTGTTTTGTGGTTTTTGCATTGTTTTAGTGTTTTTTTTTTTTTTTTTGTTAAATACCATTTTGGAGCATTGGAGTGTTTCGTTAGTGGCCTCGGTGAAGGCCCTTCGAAGGCGCAACTTTCGGCTTTCGGACAAGGTGCGAGGCATTAGAAGAACGCCCTGAAGAGATTGCGAGAGTTGATGCGACAGCGATTAGTACAGATTTGTAAAGATATTGTAGTTAGTTGCTAAGCTACTTTTGGGTGGGAGTTCCAATGGGTTCTTTGGGGCGGGGATTTAGACATAGGATCCGGAACTGGCTGGATGGAAGCGATTGAAATACCTAGAAACCAGACACAGATCGTAAAGTCCTACGAGTACAGTGCGTTGCGAAAGTGACAGATAGTAGGGCGTTATCTCTTTAATTACTATTAAGTATATTAACTAGTTAAATACATATTAGAAATCGTTTAAATTGTTAAAAGTAGTTCATAGTTTTAAAAGAACTAATCATATCCCCTCTGTCCTTACAGAACGCACTGTTTATAAATATAGTACAGTTAAGTAAGGTTGTTTAAGTATACAGTCGAAACTACAAAGATATATTAGATAAGGCATTAGATAATAGTTTTATATACAGCTGCGAAAAAAATAATAGCACCACCTACTCGAGCAATGTTTGGATAGTCACCCTACCTATATTTTTAGCTTTATCAAAACATGCAATACCTTTCTGGAATCGAATCGCAACCAAGAAACAATAAATTAAAAACAAAAGTTGATTTTTGTTTTAGTTTTTAAATAATTCAAGAAATTTTATTAAAACTCATAAAACTTAACGAAAAAAATAATAGCACCACTTTTCAAAAATGGCTTTAAAATTATAGGAACTACCAAATATCATGAGATATCAGTATTGAACTATTAAATCTATGTTATATTCTTCATTTAATACTTTGTGATCTATCCTTTATTGGAAATAACAGCTGTGCAGCGTCTTGGCATGGAGTCAACTAGGTCCTGGCATCGCTTTATGGGAATTGAGTCCAGGACTCCTTAATTACTTCCCAAAGGGATCCAATGGATGTTGATTTTGATGCAGCGACTGCTTTCTTGATGTCCGACCACAGATTCTCCAGTGGATTAAGGTCTGGAGACTGCGGAGGTCACTCCATAACGTTCACAGAGTTGTCCCCATACTATTTATTTGCCTTCTTGCTGGTATGTTTTGGGTCATTATCTTTTTGGAAGACCCACACGAGCGGCATTTCATTCTCTGCCAAAGGTAACTTACTCGTCTCCATGATATCCACGTATACATGCTGATCCATGATGTTTTTGATCCAATGTATCGGGCCTACTCCGTAATACGAAAAGCAGGCCCATACTATCACACTACACCCTCCATGCTTTATGGTCTTTATGGCCTTTGTGGTGTACTGGGGTTTGTTTTCTGAGTTCCTTGGACGTCTGACATACGATCTGGATCCTTTTCCACCAAACATAACCACCTCGCTCTCATCTGACCATAAAATACCCCTACTGTGTTTGGGTGACCAATTTGCATGATCCTTGGCTAATTTTATTCGCTTAGATACATTTCTGGCATTTAATAGTGGTACCTTTCGTGGGCTGCAGGTTTTAAGATTATGTTGCCTGAGATATGTAAGCACAGTTTACTCTGTCGCATTTATTTTAAGCTCCATTTAAAGCTCAGTAGCAGATTTGAAAGGATCCTTCTTGCTCTGACAAATCAATCGATTGACATGAAGGGGGGTCATAGATCGCTTTCGTCCTTATGTTTCAAGGATTTTCAGGTTTTTCGTTATAGTTTAGAGCATTCTTAATTATTTTATGTGAACATCCGACCAATCGACCAACTTCCCTGTACGATTTTCCATCCTTTATAAACTTTTGGGTGATATCACGCTTTTCCTCAGTGTAGTGCTTTCCACGGCCCATTTCAATGGTATTGTCAAACTTTTTATGATCAAAATATTGAAATAATAGACTAATCTTATTGTCACTTCCTTTGTATTAAGGCTGTTCAGCAAAATATGGGGTATTTGCTAATAAATGTGTTAGTGGTGCTATTATTTTTTTCGCCATTTTTTGGGCTTTTTTAATAAAATATTTAAAAATAAATATATAGGCAGAGTTTTAAATCATGGTAATACATTTTTTGGTTAGACAGAATACTAAAGATTACAAAAAAATGTTATGTTGAAATAAACAAGCACTGAAAACAATTTTATTTTACCCAGAAAAAAATGTATTGGAGTGGTGCTATTATTTTTTTCGCCACTGTACTAAAGGATATTCGATTGCAAAGATACTATATATAATATATGGTTATTGTTGTTATAAAACATAAGCAATGTGGAAATATAAAGGAAAAGTAATGCCGGGATCCTGTCGAATGTCTAATTAGTTATGCTACTAAATGTTGACCTATTTGATAGGGATATGCTCGATAGGTAATGACAGACTTTCTCGGCACGTGTGATCCTTTGGGACAGTCGCGTTTAATTTATATGGAAAAGAGTGTGGAATGGATGAAAAGTTCATTGCATGTTGCATAATTAAATAGAGAGCTTTTAAACAATAAAAACAACATATAGCCAACGGAAAATGGAAAGCGGAAAACCGAAGACAATTGAAAACTTGAAATACGTTGGAGCTTTCGCCACTTAACCCCGTGCAGCGAAAGCTCCTCTAGAGCTTTCTCAAAAAGCGAGGGGGTTAAGTGTAAAATGGTGACCGCAGGGGAATAGCATATACAAATTGTTTGTTGTCTTTTTTATTCGTGTTAAATGTGCCTTGAAAGCTTTTGGCCCATTTGCATTGGGGAGCCCTCAAGTATAGGCGACTCCTGCCCCCCCAACTTATTCGCCATTACTACTATCTTTGCCGCTAGTTTTTTGAAAACGAAAGCTTGTGTGCCCCGAAGCTTCTATAAATGTTTTACCGTTTCAATTCTCCACTCGGACTACTTCTTATCCCCCTGACTATTGCCGAAAGTGTCTGACAGCGAACCCAACGCAATTATCTATAAAGACTGGAAAAAATACACGAAAAAAAAACACACGAAAATGAGGGGCGGTAGCCGAGGTCTTCGGAAGAGAAAATAGGAAAACGCGACGGCAAATGTCAAAGAGTGAAAACATTCATCAATCATGGTAAGGTCACTGCCGGCATGAAGGGAGAGGCAATATCATTTTTTCCATTCCCCTCATCTATATATATGAATTCTTCTTCTTTTTTTTCGGATATTTATGGACTGCAAAGTTCAGACACGTCGGGCGCAAATTGATATTAATTATAAAGACGAGATGAAAGATATAGATAGAGCGACTAGAAATTGTATTTTCCGTAGCACTTAACAATTCAATTGCCACATGAATAATCAATTTGCAGGCTGCAGGAAAGAAATGTCTTAATTGCGTTTGTTGGATTTCATCCATTAAATGCTAAAATGGTAAACGCTTGGGGGCCCACCTACTAAGCCCCATTTCCATTTTCCATTTTCCATTCCCCTCGATCAAATGGCGTGTAAACAAAATTTTTAATTATGCCCACCGAAAGTAATGCCAAAGCAAGTCGGAGGAAAAAAATAAATATATATATATATATATGTATGGGGGCAACGAAATGCGATTGAAGGTGGCCAAGCGGGCAAATGAACAAAATAATTGTTGAGCCAACGCCGCGTATGAGCAATATTGATTTTCACTAATTGGATTTTAGCGCGCGAAAAACGCTAAATGGCCAAAAGGGAGGCGAGGAAATAAATTCAACGAAAACAAACCGAAAGAAAAGCAGCAACAAAGTAAGCAAATCACAAATTGCCAGCGTTTTATGATTATTAGAAAACATCTATTGCACAAATAAAGAAATCCGAACTGAACATAAAAACATCTTGAAGGGGTTTATGGGGGTTCGTGTGTTTATGGAGATGAGTTATTGGCAGTGAGTTCGCGTACGATATACCCACATGAACATCTAGGAACTACCATTGTAATAAGGCGAACTTTTTATAGGTTCTATAAGTGGGACATCAAAAGTGTGGACTATAATTCGATCGTTGACGTACGGGAAATAAAAATGCTAAAATCTACCTTGCGGGACAAAACATTGTTGTTTCAGGTTGAACCTAATAAATTGTTGACTATCGGAAATTATTATTAAGTAAATGTTCTTCCTTAAAATATTACCCCAAATACATATTGAGAATAACGATCTGGGAAAGATCTGGGAATTGTTTTCATAAACACAGAACATCGAGTGCGATAGTGGCTACGTAACATATAATTTACGGGTATATATATATGGCACTTATGCAGAGAGAAGGGATATTCAGAGTTGGAGTACTATATATGTATTATATATTGAGCGCTAAGGGTACTCCTGGGTGGCTTTCACTCGGACATTTATGAGCTGGGCGATTGCAGATGGCTTATGTACATGAATTATGTACAAGGGAGTTATAGCGTTGTGGGCACTCGAAAAAAAACGCAGGGCCCTTTAAATTTAAAAACTGTGTGGGCTTTTCAGTCAGTTATAATATTTTCATAAAAAGTTTAAAATGAAAAAGCTACACTTAAAGGATTTTTAATTGAAAATTTAGTAAATCGATTGCATGTGACTTTAAATCAAATCCTCAACTAACACAAAAATCAAATCCGAGTAAGACTTTCTGGTTTTTTTCGAGTGCGCGTGGTGGGTTTGCCGGCTCCCCTCAATAAAAAACGAGATGGAAACGGTCGGTCGGGTGTTTGGGGGAGTGGGGGGCTTTAATTTAGAGCAAGCTGCCGGGACCGCCGGCTGATTCTCACCTGCTTGAAGGGCCGCATTCCCCCGTTGATGCGCAGTGAGTCGGCGGCAATGCCGGCGATGCCGTCGCCGGAACTCTCGCGCAGTTGCTTCAGCGAAACGTTGGGCACGGTGTGCGAGTACGAGTGGGCGTGGCCGACGCAGGCGGTATGTGGTCCGCAGCAAATCGCCGTGCTGCTTGACTCCGGCTGCGAGCTCTGCCGTATTATCCTGGATCCATTCGTGGGCGAGGAGGTGATCAAAACGGGCGGCACCTGCTGCTGTTGCTGCTGCGACAAGTGCTGCTGCTGCTGCTGCGACAAGTGGTGTTGCTGCTGCAGCTGATAGTGCTGCTGCTGATGCTGCTGCAGGTGATACTGCTGCTGCTGCTGCGGCAGGGCCGAGTTCGATATGCAGATGGCCATGGAGCCGCTGAGATTGCCCTGCTGGAAGGCACTTTTGACGCTGTCTCGCGAGGCGGAGCGATCGATCAGCGTGGTGGGCGTGGTGGAAGCACGTCGACTGCAGTTGCGGCACGCCCGGCAGCGACTCGGCACGCTGGGCGGTATGCTCGAGGCCAGGTTCTGATATGACGAGGTGCCCAGATTCGGATGGCTGCCCGGACTGGAGCTGTGGCTATGACTGTCGGGCTTTAGGCTTAAATTCATAATTGATATGGTCGGTTGTTGCTGCAGCTGCTGCTGTTGTTGTTGGTTGTTGTTGTTGGTCGACGTTGTTGTCGTTGTTCCCTGGCTGTGTTGCTCTTGGTCCTCTTCGTGTACTTCGATGTCAGGCACTATGCTGCTGCGCACCAGTCCCTGCTCCACATCCTCGTCCGGATGCCCGGTGGCTCCGCTGCCACCGATGCCGCCGCGCATACTCTCCTCGGATCCCATCCGCGCGTGCTGCGATTGCTGCGGACTCGTCAGGTAGGTGGAAGTGCGATCCTGCCGCATCAGCGTCGGCTTGGAAGCCCCGGCTCCGGAACCGGATGCGGAGCCCGCTTGGGAACCGGTTCCCGTTCCCGTTCCCGTTCCCGATCCCGATCCCCCGCCCCCCGATCCCGACGAGGATGTGGATGCGCCCGTGGTCGGGCCATTCGTGGAGCTGCTCTTCACCTGGCGGAGCAGGGCCGTCCGACCGCCACCCTTCGAGGGATTCGAGCTGCTCACCAGCAGCGAGTCCGTCTCCTCGGAACTCACGTAGCCCGAGTTGGTGGTGTCGTTTAGCTTCTGAATTGACATCTGCAAGGGGAACAAAATAAGAATTGAATTAGGGATATAAAGAAGGAGTTCATTAAAAACAAAAATGTTTAAAACTAGATTTTTAGAACCCATTGCAAAGTTGTTTAAAAAAATAAGCCAGTCTTTAATTAATAGATTAAAGCATCAGCATTATTTCATAAAATTCAACATATCAACAGTTTTCAAATGGACTTACTTATTATACTATAGAACAACAAGAAAATTGTAAGCGAAACTATAATTTAAAACCTCCCTAGAGTATCAAACATAATCCACAGCTCTTTTTAACAAAAAGCATTATGCTTCATAATAAAACCACTCAACAGTGCGTATGAATGATATGGCCAACACTGCGTATGCGGAAATGAAATCATCAGGATATCTAAGAAAAACTTGAATAAGAGTCAAAATAAATCACAAGTCATAAAATCCAAGACAAATCGCAAATATGCAGGACGTGTGAAGTGAGTGCCAAAATAAAGACAAAAGGACAAAGGAGCGGCTTAAGAGCCCATAAAGAAAATAGAAAATGGAAAAGAAAGACGGGTTCGAAAGCTGTGGCCGAGCTTTCCGGGAAAACTATTTGCCAGAAGTTGGACATCGGTGACAAAGAACTGATAAGCCACAAAAGCTTCAAAGCCAGCGCTCACATGTGCGGCGGGGAAATGCGGGAAAGCTCGTTGACCGCAGCTCACCTATGTGAAAAAGGAAAACCGAGGAGCCAGGGAAAACCTCATAAAAAAAACGAAGCAACAAAAAATTTGAAACAACTCTCAAAAATCTAACAAATGAAAATCAATAATTCAACTATAAATACGAACGAGAACTGTAAATTATGCAGGTACCGTTATGCAGAGGTTCGTAGGCTAACGGAAGAAGTACATGTAGAAAAATTAGATGTGAATATATTACCATAAAGTGTATTTAAAGAAAATACTACAAATCTTGTTAGTTAAGTATTATTCCTACTCAAACTTGGTATTTCTCTTGTTTTTGTTTATTTTTGCGTTTAAAGAATTATTCTGATTATCTAATAATTTGCAAACACAAGTTTATATATGCCCAAAAAAATTTAATATTATTTTTATTAAACAATAGACATAACTTTTTTCTCAGTGTTTTTTTTCGGGGCAACCGTTGGATCCGGACAAAAGGACATTTGGTGGAGCTGGACGAAAAATGTGAAAATTTGAACACCTGCAGAGCAATGAGTTCTGCTAGATGACTGGCTGGCATGGCCATATATACCCACATATATCCCCGACATTGTGTGGCCCACATGTGCAGGCACACACCGTACACACAATATATACGAATCCATTATACGTTTGCATGTTGAGCGTGCCGCTAATAATAGTTGGGGGCCCCATATCCCATAGACCATATCAGAGGAGTCCGTGCCAGGCGGAATGCCACAGATACAGATACGGATGAAGACAGAGGCGTACGAGGGAGTTTATGGCGGAAAGAGGGGATCTCAGATCTTTAAATTGAAGTTATAAACTTCAATTGGTACTTTAAACCATCAGTTAAGTCATCTGTTCAGGCAAACTATAATATTTTATCTTTTCACATTTGCATTTCGAAATCCGTGGCAAGCCCCTTCGCACGCCACTGGCTTCAATATCGTACGGAGATATAAAAGGGACGGACGGCCGTGGAACGTGGTTTCTTGCTTCAAATTGGGTTAAAATTCTTTTTCTCTCGGCAGCCAAATGCAATCGCATTTGGGGCCGCAAATGAATTCAATTGTTTATGAGCCACTCTTGATGGGATATTCTATAAATATCGCCCGTTGCCTATTGATTGACTTGTCAGTCACTTTGGTCCAAACAAACGAGACACAAAAAAAAAGTGAGGGGAAAACCAATTCGGCTGAGTCAGCAGAAAAACTCATTCATAGATGAATCTCGAATAATTGATAAACATCTTGTCTTTCGATGCGGCGCGCTTTAATTCGATTTCGGTCGATGAGTAGAATGGATGAAATTTTAATCGCACCATTAAAATGATTGCTTTATCGAGCAGGGGCACGTACAGTGCGGCTCAGCTGTGTAATTCATTTGGATTGCCGGGCGATAATCGCCTCGTAAATACTTTGCAAACTGTATGCTGATTTCACCAGCTTATGAGATTAATGACATTCATTATTAACTAAAGCAAAAAAGCTTTTAATTCATGTTAAACAAAAAAGTTATATTAGCTCGTAGTTTCAATGGATATTTTTATTTTCTATATCTTATTATTTATATGTATACATTCAACTCCAGAGGCATACAACATATTGTTAGTAATCACGTAACCAGCCAAAGCCGCCTTATATAAATATGAATCAATAACTCTCCTTTATCCCCTAATATTCAATGTCCAGCATAAGCTTACCTACTTAAATTGATAATTTACTTTTCCACTGTTCAATGGCCAATCAAATTCGATTGCTTAGCACAACAAATCACGGTAATCCAAGGTGGGCGTCCCCTTGTTGTTATGCCCGCAACAACATGGGGCATTAAGCCATCAATCGCCTTACAACCTGGGGACGGACTGTATCCCCCCCCCCGCCCCTGGATTCTTCTATTCAGCATGCACCGATGGGAGGTGCGGCAAAAGGACACGGAATAAGGAGATGTCGGCGTGTGAATGTCCTCGTCGATGGTCAAAGGACCTCAGGAACCTCAGCTCCGAATGGGCATGGAATAAGTTAAACAGGTATACATATATGTATATGGTATATGTTTGTATTGGTATATGTATGTGTGTGTATGTATGCAGGTCGGGGAGCCCCAGGTGACCCAGATGTCATGCGGCACTCAGCGCTAAAACATGGCCCGCAACGCAGCTTGGCCAATAACAATAAAGCCAAGAGGACCGAAGCACAGGAGCACAGGACCTCGAACTACAATCAAGTAGTGCTGTCGCTTCGGGTTTTATTTCATCAATTGCTACTTCCCCCGAGCCTTTGACGAAGTGGAAACGCTTGTTATTCTATAATAAAGTGCCAATTGTTGGCCATATTAACACTGTATAGATAGATAGTGGGTTGCATCCGCAAAGTGCTGACACTTTAGATTGAGCTTTTCCCCGCACATCTATTCAAACAATTAGGTTTTCAAAAAGGATGCCTAACAAAAAATAAAATGAATATTGATTTTACTGAAGATTTATTTGGTATATCCCAGTTAATTAAAATCAAATTCTGTATTCAACGTTAGTAAACCAACTGCGTTTTAAACGAAAACAGAATTAGCTCCCTGCAACGGAGTGCTCCTTTTTCTGTCTTCTTAAGCATTTTACACCACCAGTTTTTCCTCTGGCTATACTTTGTTCTCGGTTAACCTCTTTCTTGGGACCCAGAGGACAGAACCAACCGACAGCACTGGAGCCCAAAAGCAATACAAATAAGTTGGACCCACACAGACGGGAAATTTCTATTGTGTAATGGCCGCTTCAGGTTTTCTGGTTTTCAGGCTGTGGCCATTGAGAACTGACAGCGTTGTTTAATGGCCAACGGGCGTTGGAAACCCTTCAATCCGCCGCATTCACGTCCAGGTCCTGGCAATCAGTTACCAGTTACCGACGTTCGCATGTACAGATAAAAATTTATTGCACAACTCAAAATCAGAGGCAGAGTGCCCGAGTGCCCAGTGGCGAATGGTGAATGGCGAGTCCTTTGGCTTTTTGTGCCGGAACAGGAGCAGGACCCTCTACATAAATTTCATTCGCACAGCACACAAAAAAAAAGCAAGAAAATCGTTAACTTGGCCCTGTTTTATCCTGTGCCACACAAAACATTATGCCCCCAGAATTTCCACATCGTTCCTCCTCCCCAAAAAAAAAAAACTCACCTCAACAACAACGACCTCGTTGCATTCGTCAAAAGCTCTGCTCTGCTGGTACTTTTTTTATTTTTTTTGTATTTTCGAGGAACGAAAAACGAGTGGAAAATATGGAAAAAAGAAAGGATGCCACAAGCTGGCCAAAGTTGAGGGGTCACCCTCTAATTGCACGGAAACCCTGGGATTACAAGACCTGACCCTGATAGCTTTCTCTGGGAATCTGTGCACTTACCGTCTCTGAACTGGCTTCTAATCTCTGTTTGGCTTTTAAGTTTGACTTTTGACAGTTTAAACATGGTCTAAGGTTTCGGTTTCAGTTGCAAAGCCGAGCTAAAAGCTTGAAGGGGATTTTTATGTAACTATTACTGAGAGCAAGGAAATGTAAAATGCAATTTACTTTGCTAAAGCAAATATATATTAAATTAGATAGCAACGGTAACCTTTATCTTTAATTAAAGATAATAGCCTCAATCATTCTAACAAGTTATTACTTCAGAAAGTTCTGAAGTGCTTCATGGCACAACAATTTTCAACTAAGTTGTCATCGCCGATAAAGCTTAACTAGCCCAACAAAGTGAGACAATAAACTATAAAAAGTTAGGCAAATCTAATTGAATAGATGGCAGCTGAGGCAAATGGACTTGGGGAAATCATGAGTGGGATACGAAAAGGTGACCTCCACAGTTTATGAGCTGGCCACCCTGCTAAAAAGGACAAAGAGGATGTTAAGCCACTTTGGCTACAGTGAGTCCTAGACTTTGTCCAAAACTTGAATTGATTGAAACACTTGCCTCGAGCTCCTCCGCTTTCAACCTGACAGCACAATCTACTTGTCGGGGGGACCGAAAAAGCAGTTGCCAGTCCTGACACTTTCGATATGGGTCTGACTTATCCTGCCTCCGGGCAAAAAGTCCATCACAAAGTGTCCAAAGAACAGGCAAACTCACAATAGATGATGGACAGCCAGTCGGCGGATGTACACAAACATACAAAACGAAAACACAGAGAAAAAAAAAAAAGCGAACAAGCAAGCCAGGCGAAGTTAATGAAGCCATCAACGAAGAACCCTACTTACAATCGTGTGTCAGGTTTACAGCTATATATAGAGTGGAGTATGGTATATAAAGTCAAGTCGGGGGACCTTTGCGTAACTCCAAGCGAACC